GTTTGCCAAAGTTTCAAGAATTCCTCCAGCCTCGAAACATGAACAACATCTCACAGGATTGATTTCTATTTGGTCATAATGTGGACAAGAAAAATGTGTTCTTATTTTTTTTATGCTAATAATCTTATTCAATTCATTTTAATTTTCCTTCAAAAAAGTATGTTGAGATGGATTTTCAAACCCATTTAGATCCAGTAGGATCTTTAGAACAATATACAGCCTTCTGATTATGAAAGCAACTGATTGCTGATAGGAAAATGATATGCATCAGACCTCAAATCAGAGAAAGAAAAATGAGAAGCTGTCTTTCACGGCTGAGACCACTCGATAACTTACAGGATGATGTGAAAAAAATTTGGCTATAATTTCAACCAAACTTCAACTGATGAACAAATCAAATACAGAAGAATCAAGTATCTACCAACTTAGCTAGTATTCCTATCCAAATAAATGCTTTCCATTGCACTGAATAGAAAATCAGAAATTCACTATATGTTAAGGCATATTTCAATTAATATGTTCCAGAATTGCACAGTTATACTGGTCAGTGTTCCCATATCCCCACTCCTACCCTCACCCCACCCCTTTTCCCGAGGGATCAAAATATTAAGTCATGGTTTTGGTGGCTATTGCAGATTTGAGCTGGCATACCACAGTGTGTTCACTAAGTTTTTATGAACATAAACATTAAAATGTTACATAAAATGTACCATAATTTACTCCACACTCCAATCTAAGATGGTTTAATGTCTTGACAAAAGGTGAGATGACTTAAGTACATTTTACATTTGTGCATTCAGACCACCACATATGCATAGATGTTCTAATGCTAAATTCTTGTCTTCAGTATCTCATAGTGCTGGATGCTCGGAAGTATGACAGAAACTTGTAACACAGACTAACCACAAAGTACCAGATGTTTCTTGCCATTTGTGATCTTGCAATAAAAATGCGCCAGATCAGGATCACAAGTATAGTATTGAAACCGTAACGTATGTTCCTCAATCTGAAAGCAAATCAAGAGAAGTATTAAAAAATATTTTCTAGAATAAAATATTGTTGGATGACACATAATTAATGCTCAGTTTTTAACATAAAGTTCAACTTCATATTAATTTGAAATTTATTTAAAAACGAACTGAAAGTCCTTAAGTTAGAAAGTTAGCAGAACTCAAACCTGACTGTGCATACTCTGGACTGCAGTCTGTCAAACAATGAATTACCTCTGTCGACAATGAATAACACAATGCTTTTTATAATAGTACATTTGGGATGCAAATTTATTCATTCAGTAGGTAATGAGCATACTTTTGTGTGCCCAATACTGTGCTAGGTAGCAAGTACACTGTACATAAAACAAACATGTCCCTTAAGTGCTTGGAGCTTTTTCCTTCTTAACTAAACTAAAAAGGCTTGTTCATCACATAAATCATCCTACACACAAAATAAACATTTTCTGTGATATCTTCAGATGCTTACAAGTTGTCAGAAAACTGAACTTACTCCTTCCATTATAGCTGATAGTCACATGACCAAAGACCAACTGGACAAGAACTCATTCATGAATGAAGCATGGCACTAGCTCTAGATAGGAGACCCTCCCATTCTCAAAGTAACATGTACATTATCTCACTCGTTTCAAAACACCTTAAATGTTTTTTAATGGTGTTAGAAAGGAATGCAAAGCTTTAGGTATGCAGTAATGTTACATATAGTCCACTAACTTCAACAGGCAGTGTAAGATAGAACTACTATATACTAATGAACAATTGGTGTAGACAAGAGCTTTGATTTACATGCCAAATTTCACTGTTCCGGTTTGTTTTGCCACTTACCACATTATGACTTCTGCAAACACAACTTCCCTGAACCTCAGTTTCTCATCTTTACAACTAACTGCCCTACAAAGCCTCACAGAGTTGGAAGCATGAGAAGAATAATGGGAAAGTCCTGAAAGCTGTTATAAAAAGTGTGTTAACTAGGCCCTAGACAGGTAGCTCAGTTGGTAAGAGTGTCATCCTGACACACCAAAGTTGTAGGTTCAATCCCTGGTCAGGGCACATACAAGAATCAACCAATGAATGCAAAATAAACAGAACAAATTGATGTTTCGCTCTCTCTCTCAAATCAATTTTTAAAAAATTGTATTAACTAAACTACAAATAGAATAGTTTACTATTAAAATTTTAACTGCATTTCTGAATGATAGATTAATAGTGATTTTTCCTCTTCTATTTTCTGTGGTGTGTTTTTTTAAACAACCCATATGTACTGCTTTTATGAAAGACTAAAGAGAGTAACTATAACTCTTTTATTACCAAAGAAAAATTCCATGTTAAATGATGTACTATCATATCTCTTTTCCTCTTCCAAAGATATATCAGAGTAGGGTAAAAAAAAAACAACAACAACCTTTAAATAAATAAATTACCTTCAGTTTAAAATATATTTTAATTTTCTCTTAATATCTTTAGTTCTTCAGTAGAAATATAATGGAAGATAATAGTGATTTTTAAAACTAAATTACATCTGTACATAGAGCTAAGGAAACATATATATTGATGAAGATATCAAGTTTCAACATTAGGCTAAATCAATACTACCAAAGTTCCAGTCCAAAGGTAAATACTTTTCCTAAATGCAATAGATTATTAGTAATATCTTTCATTCAATATACCAAAAAAAACCAAACCCCCGTGTAACATTTCATAAGGAAGTCAAGAGGAAGTCAAACTCATGTAAAACTTACTTGTTCAGATGTTTCCTAGCTGCAGGAAGGCCGGACATTTCTTCATTCAAAACATATTTCTTAGTTCCCATGCAGTAGTTCTCTATGTACTCTGCCCAATGTAACTGCCTTACATCAATATTAAAGGTCTACATAAACAAAAAATTATTGGTTACTTTCTTAATTTTTTTCACTAGTCAAAAATTTATACTTTTTCTAAACGCTAATTCCAAATGACATAACAAAATGTTTACCGTATTAACTTTTAAAATCTTACTGCTATTCACAAAAAAGTTCTTATTCCTATTCCATACCTTCCAGTAAACAAAGAAACATTTGAGAAGATAATCTGAAAACTCATGTTAGCATTTAAAGAGTATATAGTGTGAGGAGAAAGAAGCCCGCACCATCCAAAAAAAAGAAAATCCCATTGTCCAAATAGACCTATGTATTCCTCACCACTCTATACACATATTAATGCATTTATTTCTAGTTTGTATCTACAGTATCTCCTCTCTTCTTGAACACCCTGCGTGCCATACAGATTAATCTTCCTAGAGAATAGAACTGACATCAGGTGAAAGAATATGTTATAGAAGCTGGCTTAGGAGTTTAGACAACAGTAACTAGGCCATCTGATGAAAAGGGTATACAAAAACAAGAAAAAAAGCCTTACAAAAATGCTATTTTGTGACAAAAGGAGAGGGCCATGCACTACTCAGTGCTCCTTCATACATTTGGATAAACAGATTATTCACTATATACATCACTTATTTGAAAACAGTAAGTTCTAGACAAAAAAATGCTACTATAAATAAATCACTAAAGTAATATCACCCTAAAGATAGAAGATATAAGATGGTCATTGGATTCCCACAGAAGAGTGAAAAAGAATGAAACAGAAGACTGGCTGGAAATCTTCCAAAATATAATGACACCAAGGCACAGATTTAAAACTCACATATACCATATGCACGTACACACATGTAAGTACTATCAGAGTAAAACTGTTCAAGGTCAGAGAAAAATTTTTAAGATGTTAGAAAAACATCATATAGACTACCTCCTCATCACTGAGGGAGGGGCTATAGAAACTGCTTAATTTAGACTTTGTTAGGTATGTGCATTAAAGTATTTAAGGTAACCTCAAAAGGAACACACAGGAAGAGTTAAAGTTTTAAATTAACAGGGAGAAATGCGGCATGATAAAAAGAAAGAATATCTGAAAACCAATTTCTGAGGGAAGATTTTTCTCAAAAGTCAAAGAAAACAAAGTGTTTTGTGGGGAAAAAAATGCATAAAGAAGCTAAAGTTCTCTTTAAATCTGACATTAAAAGAGGAAAAAAATGAACATTTCAATCATATCTGCCACACCCAAGTACCTTATAAATTCTAAGGTAAAGCAATTGTACTTCATCACCAACAATTATGACTGAAGCTTTTAATAAGAGACTATATATAAATCAACGACTTTCTTATTGCATAATGATTATGAAAAGATCCAATTATTTCTCAGGTTGCTGATGGCTGTCTAATTAGTAAGTACTCATTTTCTAATATAAAACAGAAAATACTTGCCTTTTTATCTTCAGGATTTAGTTGATTCATTAACATATTGACATTGTCAGTGTTCCAAACCCAAGAATTACTTGTGAAATATTCAAGAAACATCATAGCTTTGTGAAGACGAGTTATTGTTTTCATCATCCTGTATTATAAGAAAATGACAGATTCATATTTTGCATATATTAGCAAAAAATCTCATCACCACCCACGGCACCAGTTTGTAAGCTGAGACATTAGCAGTAAAATCACAATACATAATTCAATAAGTGTACCAAACCAGCAGGTAATAAGAATATTTCTGCATCTTAGAAGACTAGTTCATAAATCCAAAATGTAAAAGAAAAAATTTTAAGCATCAACAAATAAATTTAATACTACCTAAAGTTCTGTTGATACATAAAATTAATTTTCAAAGGAAAGACAATGCTTTAAGGTCAAAATTTCTCTATATAATACTAAGCAATAATGGATTCAATTAGAATTCCCTTGCTTTTTGTTTCTTAAACCACATTTTACTAAGATTTCCTGTGAATTCATAACATATTGTATTACATTATACAGAAATATTCGTTTGCCATTTAGTCAACTCTCTATATATGTATCTTTACATAACTTTCTCTTTAACACTGGGAAACACCACTCTTGGATCATCTGGTTGTGCCATGAAATCAATGACTCATGCTGAAAACTTTCTAAAATAGATATTTACTCACTCCCCCAAAATCCCTAATATCCATCCTTATAGAAATAAGGGAGTTTGATACTGTTTTGTTTGTTTCTTTTTAAAAGGGCAAGGGGCCCTAATCTTTAAATCTGTCATTGTATATATCACAGCTCACTGTAAGTCATTGATATCATAACGTTAACCCGAGCAGTAACATCTATACAATAATTACCTATAAGTAGGGAAGAAAGAACTTTTGAAAACAAAACACACACCAAAAATTCCTAACCCCTGATAAACAGAAAAATGATTTGTGAAGAAATATCAAAAAACGAAACAAAACCCAAACCCTCAATTTATAGTCCCACAATAAGGATTAGCATTATATGTAATTTAGAGTCCCAAATCATGAACTTTAGGAATAGGGGATAATTAGAACATTAGAAATGAGGAGGGGAATCAAAATAGTAATATAATTAGCTAAGCAATTCTGATGACACATTCAATACATTTAGAAAAATATCTTGAGTCCAGAATATTGGAAAAAATGAGGTAGCATGGACTATGTAAAAAAAAAACTTTAGTTCATGCAGAAAGCAATTACAAAATAAAACTTCCAATAAACATGAAATGAATTAGTGGACCTCAAAAGGCTATATTTGGACAAAAATGGTTCCTACAGATAGAAAGCACTTGGTGGAAAAAAATAAGACATGCTGCTTTTAGAAAAGAGATTAAACAATTTTTTTTCTAAAAAAACAACAACAAAAATATCTAAGAAATTTGTAATTAGATCAATATCAACTATCACAGCCAGTATAGTATACTTGAATCATACATATACACATATTTGGTTAACATGGTTTTCCAACATACATCATATTAAGTTTCCTTCCTAACTTCTTTTTCACTGACAATTCTCACCTAGTCTTCAGATTCATTCAAATAACAGAATTACCCTAACACCAATCACTGATTCAGCCATTCAAAAATAATCACAATAAAATACTGGAGTGGGAAAAGCAAATTTGAAAGGCTATACATGTGTAAAGTTCATACACTATTTATCAATCCTATGGGAGATAAAAAGAAACAAAACTCTGCACCATCACCCTTTGGTTAAACATGACATAAGAGGAAATGCCTGGGACTATACTGTCACATATATTCTAAGTATTAATTTATTCTTTATTATGGCAACCTGCAAAAAATAATCAATCACAATCCTTTAGAGTAGGGCAAGACCTTAATGGTCATCTAGCCCAGGGTTTCTCAACCTCAGCACTATAGACATTTTATGCCAGATAATCCTTCATGGTGGGGGCTGTCCTGTGCATTCTAAGATGCTTGGCAGCACCCTTGGTCTCTACCAACTCAATGCCAGTAGCACCTCCCCCCAAGTAGTAGTAACTGAAAATATCTCCAAATATTGTCAAATACCCCTGGG